CCAGTACAGGCCGTAGTTTGGCATCGCTCGGTATCTCTTGGAAGCGAGGGTGGTCAAGAGCGAGGCAGGTATGCTTTCCCCCTATCACTGCAATGCAGTGCCATGCGATGCAGATTTCAGTGCAACGCACAGTGCAAAGCAACGCAGCGCAAAAAAGCAGCGCAGCGCAGCGCAGCGTGGCGACGGGCAGCGACGAGCCGGCCCCCACCGCCACCGGAGGCCCAGGCGGCGGCGGCGACGGCGGGCGGCAACGAGCCGACCGGACCGCCACCGGGACTTTGTTATTTTAGAAGAGAAGCGAGAATCGGCCGGATGGCGATGGGGGGATCAGGACATGGGGGGATGAGTATCCGGTGCCGTTTTGTTGGGGTGCAATTCGTACTCTCTCTGCGGGGTGCAAGTGCAAATTGTGCCTTCTCCCCCCCCGTTCACATCCTCGCACATGTCGCGGGCGTTGTCAGAAGTGCAACTTGTGTACCTTGTCTGGGTGGCGTCGGTACAAATTGTACCTTCTCCGTGGGGCGTAGGTACAATTTGTACCTCGGTTGCGCCTCTCTCCCCCCCTGGATTTATCCCCCCATTTGCATCCCGCCAAGAGAACCCCTGGGTGCGAGCACCGTTTGGGGAATGAGCACGAGCTGTCAGGAGTTCGCATGGATCTCTTGGGTCGGCGTGGGATCCCCCCTGGCGGCGTCTCTGGCGCCGCCCCCGGCGCGCTTGGGCCCCCATCGCCGACCCAAGAACTCCGCGCGAACCTCCGACTGATCATGATTACCCACCGGTCGTCGAAAGTAGGTATTTTGGGCATTCCAGATTTCAATCTACTTTAAGCGCCTTCCTACTTCAATGATCGAGTGGCTTGCCCTCTTCACTCCTCTTCAGGAGGCGGGCGGAAGCCCAATCTATTTCCAACGCCTTCCTACTTCGTGTTTCTACCTACTTCTTCCGACCGATGGGTACGCATTTTCATTAAGTGATCTAGTGGCCTGCGGCCCATCCGCCTCCGTGCCTGGGTTGTGGGTGGGAGTCCTGATGGATGCTTCTTGTGGGCTCTCAGGAGCGCTCTCGGGAGAATCTGGGCAGCAGTCTCGAGGCTTCCTGTGGGCCTCATCGGCGCCCCTCGGGGGCCGCTCGGAGGCCTCTTGGGGCCCTTGGGGGCCTCCTGAGGGCCTCTTAGGGGGCCTCTTGGGGGCCACTTGGGGGCCTCTTGGGGCCTCCTGCAGGCTTCTTGGGGCCGAGGGCTCGAAATGTCCGTTCGGGTCCCCCGTCTTGGCCCGTTCTTGGAGCCGTGTTTTGGGGACTCTTGGGCCGTCTCTAAGCCCTCTTGGGCCGTTGGGGTGCCCTATTGGAGGCCTCTTGGGCCGCCTCGGGGCCATCTTGGGCGCCTCTTGGGCCGTCTCGGAGCGTGGGGAAACCAAAAAGGCGAGAACGCTCAAATCCTTCACAACCCTAAAGAACAACAATGACATTTGCCTCTTGGGAGGCCTCTTGTGGCGTCTTGGAAGCCTCTTGGACCGTCTGGAGCCCATCTTGGGCGTCTTGGAACGATCGTTCGGCGACTCGGGGCCCTCTCGAACCGTCTTGGGGGCCTCTTGGGGCCCTCTTGGCCCGTCTGGGGATCTTGGACCCGCAGCAGTCATGCGACAAGGAGCAGGCGAAGCCCCGCCAAATTTCGGAATTTGGGGCCCGGGCCCTTGAGACAGTCCTCAGGAGCAAGGATTGAGGCTTAGAGGATTAGGCAAAGGAGCTGAGGACACGCCCACTCCGTGTCCAGAGGCACGGTGGCGGATATTCCTCTTCAGCATCAGGCCGAATGCGCGAGGCCACCAGGGTGCCTGTTCCCAAGACCGCGCTTTCCAGGCGACACCGCCAAGAACCTCAAGCCCCCGAGGTCCTTGCCTTGCTGAGGGCACCCCTGCTGGTGCTCCTGTTGTGCTTCCCTTTCGCCCACTTGGAGGACAACTGTCTTCGTCTTATGTTCGTCGCTGATCCCCTCATTCCTCCGTCTTCTCCAAGATCTAGTGGGCTCCGTGACCGGGTTGCGGGTCAGAATGTGTTTGGAGGCCTCTTGGGGTTTCTTAGGATGTCCTTTTTGGAGGCGATTTGGGGCCTCTTGGGGCCCTCTCGGAGGCCTCTTGGAGGCGTGTTGGAGGCTTCTTTGCGCCTCTTGGGTGCCTCTGGGGCCTCTTTGGCGCCTCTTGGCGGTCTGGGGGCCAGTGTTGCACAGGGGTGCTCATGGGGCCAGTTTGGGTGCCCCCTCTGACCCCGAACACAGTGAAAACGCCAAGTGTTTCACGTGTGCGGGTGAAGGCCATGCGAGCCGCCCCGAAGGTCACGCGCGACGCCCCGAGAGATCTGGCAGTTGGAGGTCTGAGCTCTTGAACTCAAGTTTGTGCCTGATCTTCGGGGGCGACAGTCAAAAGTTAAAAGGCCCCCAAAACGGGGCGAGTAAGCCCATGTGAATATTTTCACACTTGATTAGATGTCAGGGTCCTCCATTTGTGCCAAGACGGGAATAACGTTATAACACGATTGGCTCAGGGTACGTTCTGGGAGTTCAGGAGAACTCGACGGGCTGCTGGCGCTCTTCTTAGTGCCCACGGCACGCCGGCGGATGCAGCCGGACCGAGGCATGAGATCGAGGTCGGCTCGGGAAGGGTGCCCTGGTGTGTTTTTCGTGCTGGTTGGATGTTCTGGTACATCCTGGGAAAGGGGTACCCCAGAGTTCGTAATAAAAGGGAGGGGGTCTGGACCCTCCAAGACAAGCCATTTCAGACCTCCCCTGTGGGAGAACCCTCCAACACATCGTCCCCAGACCCCCCCAGGCCCTCCAAGATAGCCTGGAAGCGACCCCCCCGAAATGAGACCCCCCTCCCTTTATTACGAAATCTGGAGTACCCTTGGATGTTATGCTCTGTTCTGCCGACGGGGGGGTCTTCTTATGTCCTCGAAGGCCGGTCGTCTTGCTCAGGTCCGAGTGCACTTGAAGAAGAGACACCGCCACAAGCAGATGTTTTTGTGCTTGTTGGACGTTCTGGTACATCCTGGGGAGGGCTTCCTTGGATGTTGTGCTTCGTTCTGCTGGCGGGGGGGTCTTCTTATGTCCTCGAAGGCTGGTCTTCCTGCTCAGGTCCGGCTGCACCTGAAGAAGAGACAGCGCCACACGCCGATGTTTTTTTGGCGCAGGCCCAGGACATCCGAGAGGAACGCCAAAAGCTTCTGCTCACGCCGTTTTTTTTCTTTTATTGAATCGCTTCGCTCATTCCTCCGGCCCGTATTGTGCCATCGCGGGTTCTTGGGGGGTCTTGGGAGCCCTTGGAAGCTTCGTGGGAGCTTCTTGGGAACTTTGGGAGGCCTCGTGGATGGCTCTGGGTGGGGCCTCTTGGTGGTCTCTTGGGGGGGTCTGCCTGGCCTCTTGGGGGCCTCCTGGGAGCTTCCTGGGCTGCCCACGCCGTTTTTTTTTTTTTTTTTTTTTTTTTTCAATTGACACCCCTGGGGGGCGATCGACGCGACGGCGCCCTGCGCCGCTGGCGCCAAGCCGCGGCCGCGGGGCGAGATCCCCACCGCTTCCCCCTCCGGCCCCCTCGGCGCGTGGCCCAGAGCCGCCCGGGGGGGGGGAGTCTGTCTTTGGTCGCGTCTGGGACCCCGGGGGCGGAAAAGAGGGGGGTGATGACTAGGGGGGGGGTGGATCTCATGGCGGGGGCCATGATATCTCCCCAGATTTTATGGCGCCGCTTCTTCTGTCATTACGTTCCTGTCCCCCCCTGCTGGGCCGCGCACATGCCGCCGGTCATGATTTGCTACCCCCCCTTTTGGACACCCCCCTCTTGGCCGCTCCCGAGGACCCCCGACCATGTCGTCGGCTGGGTCGGGCACTGTCGTCCCCTCGGGGGCCCTGCCGCAGAGTCCGTTCCAACAAGGGCCTCCCCTTCGCGCCGAAGCTCACCAGCAGGGACACTGCGAGCTCGCCTCCTTCCTCCGATGAGATCAGCATCCGCCTGATCTAGCGCACCCCCCTGGTTGTTTCGGGTTGTGACGCGGCCTACTGCGCCGCCACCCTTTGTGGGCCCCGGAAACGGCAGGGCCGTTTTTTCACCGTTTCCGAGAAAGTGTCCCTTGAAAATGGAAACGGCAAAAAAAAGGCGACTGGAAACGGCAACAAAAAACGGCTCCAGGATTGGAACCAGGGCCGGAACCGGTCAAAAAACGGCGACGGAACCGGTAAACAAAACGGCGTCGGAACCGGCAAGAAAACGGCAGAACGGAACCGGTAACAGAAACGACTTCCCCAGCCGCCACTTCTGCTTCGGCGCGGCATGTCGGGCGCTGCGCCCAAAGCGGCAGGCCAACTCGGCAGCACGCGCGTCCGGGTGCTCCGCCACCACTCCGTGTATTCCAGAGTTCGTAATAAAAGGGAGGGGGTCTGGACCCTCCAAGACAAGCCATTCCAGACCCCCCCCCCGTGGGAGAGCCCTCCAAAACATCGTCCCCAGACCCCCCCAGGCCCTCCAAGATAGCCTGGAAGAGACCCCCCCCGAAATGAGACCCCCCTCCCTTCATTACGAAATCTGGAGTGGCCGCGACAGCTGCCATCCAACTGTGCTTCCGAAGCCAGACGTGTTGGGACGCCCCTGCCCCGCACGGCAGCGCCCGAGAGCGGGCCGACGCGCCCGCTGCTCGGGGACCCGCGCATTTATGTCGCCACGTACTCCGCCCTCCTTGTCCTGCTCCCCTTCGTCATCGCCGTCGTCGTAGTTGCCGTCGTGCCCTCTGTCGTCGCCTTCCTCCGCAGCAGCATCCTGCTGGCCAGCACCAGTGCTCGGCTGGGGCCGAGGCCATCGAAGCGAGCGAGAAGGCAAGACAGGGGCTGCCGAGGGCCCCGATCTCAGTCTGTCGTCGTCGTCGTCGTCGTCGTCGTCGTCGTCGTCGTCGGCGTCCTACTTTTCAGGCCGCCACGAAGTACGGCCGCCGACGAGAGCCAGGGCGATGCTGCCCGGGCCATGGCGGGGACGCGCAGCGCCAGCCTCGACTGCGCACAGAGCTCGCCCTCTTCACGGCGCTCCGCGGATTCCCCTCCCCCAGGAGCAGGGGGATCCGGCTCGGGAAAATAGTCCGGTCTCCGACTCCGGAGCCGATGCGGCGATCGCTGACTGGGGCCCCGATACCGAAAGATGCGATTGGATTTCGATTCCGATCCAGCTTCCCGATCCGATGCTAGCCTTCATTGCCCCCCCCCTCCCCCCCTGGCGGAGGGCAAGCGCTACTACTCCCGCGGCTTCGAGCGCCCCAGGCACGAGCGCCGGGAGTTGTGGCAGCAGCTGCCCGAAGGCCTTGCCCGGTGGTCGCTCCGTCGGTGCATGGAAGAGCCGTGCTTCAAGCGTGTTGATCTAGGCATCCCAGATGGGGTCCGTGCAGATGGGGTCGACGCACCGCTCCGCACCGCCGATGCACCGTCGATGCGGCTCGATGTGCAGCCCGATGGATTCACGCCGATGGCGCCAGTGCATCGCCGATGCCTCGGCGACACAGTCGGCGACGCGGTGCGATCCTCGGGCCCCATCTGCTCGGACCCCATCTGGGAGGGATCCGGCCAGGCTTCAAGCGCGTTGAAGAGCAGTGCGGGGCGGTTTCTGCCGTTTGCGGCCTCCAGGGGCCCCCGGAGGGCCGTTGGGGCCCCGTGCCCGTCAAAAACAATTCGGGAGCCGGCTCTGGGGAAAGGGTCGGGACTTCGGGGGGCACCGCTTGGCATCGCTCGGACGTGTGCGTTTTTTCCTCGGCGAGGACCATCGAGGAGCATCCTTGATCATTTGGCGAAAAACCACGCACGAAACCGAAAAAAAAACACAGGGAGTGGACGTCCGAGCGATGGCCAGACCGTGCTGAATTGATCAACGCGTCGGAAGACGAGTCGCAGAGGCGAGAAGCCATTCATGATAATGGTGCGTTCCATGATCTCCTGGTGTTCTTGATGTCTCGCGGGGCCAGACGAACGACCCGGTACTAGTGGCTGGGGGCCGCCACAAGCCCCTGAACTCCCAGAACGTACCCTGAGCCAATCGTGTTATAACTTTCTTCTCGTCTTGGTAAAATGGAGGACCCTGACATCTAATCAAGTGTGAAAATATTGAAACGGGCTTATTCGCCCCGTTTTTTGGCCTTGTGACTGTCGCTCCCGAAGGTCAGGCACAAACTTGAGGTCGAGAATCTATGTCACGTTTTTCTGGTTGTGGGACTGGGCGCCCAATGTTTGCGCTGGGAACCAGGAGCCACGGGATTTGGAGCAAACCGTGGACGCATGGTTGGCTCGATGCGATGTTGGGGGCCTATCGTTCGTTTTGCAAGCAGCGAGCAGGGGGAACAGCGCAGAGCCCGGGAACCGTCTCACGCTGTCCGGAACGGGCTCGGCCGACTGAACCAAACACAGTCGGATGTGTTTTTTTGGTTCCCTGAGGTGAGGAGATCCATCATAACTGCTCGACTTGGGCGATGATGCTGGTGCTGATGGTGGTGATGATCATGATGATGCTGATGATGCTGATGATGTTGATGATGCTGGTGGTGGTGATGGTGCTGGCGGTGATGGTGGTGATGATGATGCTGATGATGATGATGCTGATGAGGATGAGGATGATGATGATGCTGATGATGATGATGATGATGATGCTTATGATGCTGATGACGATGATGATGATGATATTGGTGATGGCGATGTCGACGGCGATGGTGATGGTGGCGGTGATGACGATGATGCTGATGCTGATGATGATGCTGCTGCTGATGATGCTGATGGAACTGATGATGATGATGCTGATGATGATGATGATGATGATGATGATGATGGTGATGATGATGATGAGTATGGTGATGACGATGTCGATGGCGATGGTGATGGTGGTGGTGGTGATGATGATGCTGATGATGATACCGATGATAATCATGGTGATGCTGCTGATGATGGTGATGCTGATTCTGATGATGATGCTGCTGCTGATGATGCAACTGATGATGATACGGATGAGGATGAGGATGATGATGCTGCTGATGATGATGATGATGCTGATGATGATGATGATGCTGCTGATGCTGATGCTGATGCTGATGCTGTTAATGATGATGCTGATGATGATGCTGATGCTGATGCTGATGCTGATGATGGTGCTGAGGATGATGACGATGATGCATATTTATATGACGATGAATGTGATGATGATGCTGATGCTGATGCTGATGCTGCTGACGATGATGATGATGTTGATGACGATGATGATGCTTACAACGATGATGACGACGATGACGACGGTGATGACGGTGGTGATGGTGATGGTGATGGTGATGATGATGGTGATGGTGATGGTGATGGTGATGGTGAGGTGATGGTGAGGTGATGGTGATAGTGATGGTGATGGTGATTGTGATGGTGATGGTGATGGCGATGGCGATGGAAATGGCGATGGTGAGGAGTAGTAGGAGGAGGAGGAGGAGGAGGAGGAGGAGGAGGAGGAGGAGGTTCACTGCCCACAGAGGGAGAAATCAAGGGGGGGAGAGTGGGAAAGCTTCGGGGGGGCGGCCCATCCAAGGAAAACTATTGCTCCCTAGCAGGTTGGTGCCATCCCTGCCAGGGCTCACCGACAGGGGGGGAGAGTGGGAAAGCTTCGGGGGGGCGGCCCATCCAAGGAAAACTATTGCTCCCTAGCAGGTTGGTGCCATCCCTGCCAGGGCTCACCGACAGGGCACCCCCCACGTCACCCATCTGCCGAGGACTCGGCTCGGCCCGCTCTCTCAGCCTGGGCCCTCGCGCGGGTCGTCACCGCTTGACGGCCGAGCGCCACCGCCTCCCTCGCGGGAGCGGAGGCAGGAGGCGGAGGCGGAGGCGGAGGAGGAGGAGGAGGAGGAGGAGGAGGAGGAGGAAGAGGAGGAGGAGGAGGAGGAGGAGGAGGAGGGGAGGAGGAGGCGGAGGAGGAGGAGGAGGGAGGAGGGGAGGAGGGAGGAGGGAGGAGGGATGGAGGAGGAGGAGGGAGGGCGGAGGAGGGAGGAGGGAGGAGGGAGGGAGGAGGGGAGGGAGGAGGTGAGGAGCGGAGGAGGAAGAGGAGGAGGGAGGATGGGAGGAGGAGGAGGGAGGAGGGAGGAGGGAGGGGGAGGGGGAGGGGGGGGGAGGGGAGGAGGAGGGGGAGGAGGGAGGAGGGAGGAGGGAGGAGGGAGGAGGGAGGAGGGAGGAGGGAGGAGGGAGGAGGGAGGAGGGGGAGGGAGGAGGGGAGGAGGGGAGGGAGGAGGGAGGAGGAGGGAGGAGGAGGAGGAGGAGGAGGAGGAGGAGGAGGAGGAGGAGGAAGAGGACGTGGAGGCTGCAATCTAGGAAGCGAGCCCTTGGTGCTGCGGTAGCTTTTTGGCTCGCCGCGCTGCGACGAACGATGGTGTACCCAGTGCTGGATGTGGCGCGTGGGCCGCAGTCCATGGTCCGAGCGCGGCGGCGGCCTGCGGCCGGGCGTCTGCCACGGCGCAGTCCTTGTGCGCTGGGCCCTGGCGCGGGTCGCTCCGATTGTGAAGGCCTTACAGTGCCGTTTTTAATACATGCTCCGCGTGCGGATCATGTATCAAAAAAGCAGGGATTTGGTGTTAAAAACAACGATGCGTTCACTGCATACATTCATTCACAAATTAATCATGTATTACAAATCCTATGTTTTCAAAAATCCAATGTATTGGAAACTGCCCTGTACGACTGGTGTCGCCGACCCGGCAGGCCGGACCTCCCCCGGGACCCCCGCTGGCCCCCCCCGCTTCGCGGGACCCGCCGGGAGCCTTGGCGGGGACCCCGGACCCCCCCCCCACGGGCGAGACCGTCTCCATTTGGACCCTCAGCTGGCGACCCTCGCGGCGGGGGCGGTGCCCCCTGCCCCCCCCAACCAACGGGGGAGGCGGGGACCCACCTTCAAAACCCGCCAGGGATCCCGAGGGGGCGGCAGTCCGTCCCCCCGTGCAGCCCCCCTACCCCCCCCCCTTGTAAGCGAGGGGAACCAAGGGGAGGTACAATCGACACGATTACGACTTTTCTTTTCTATGTTCCGTCCTTGTTCTGTTTCGGACTGGCGACGGCGACGACGACGACAAGGACGACGACAGCGTCTCACACACGCCGAAGGATCGGCGGACCCAGCGGGGGCAAATTCAGGGCGCAGGCGGGCCCCCTGTGCGCCTCTGGGCGGCCCGTGCTTGGACACGCGGCGCGCAGGCCTTTCGGTGCCTCATGCTCGGCGCTGGCAGAGTTGGCCGCGGCCTTGCAACCGACCGCTCCTCAAATTTCGGAGGTGGTTCGACCTCCTACCATGACACGTCGAGTAAGGAATTGGCCGTTTTCGGTTCGCGAGGGGGCGTCGCGGCCGTCATTTTTGCGCGTCCAGGTCCGTCGGTTTCGGTCCTAGGCCGTTTTCACTAAGGGGAGGTTTACTGAAGGGAGGTTTGTCCACCGCCGAAAATTGCCGTCGCCGCCGCCATCAGTTTGTCTGTTGAAGGGTACGCCGCGCTGGGCGCGGGGCGAGGGGCGGCGTACATCGGACGCCGAAGGCGGCGTCGGCGCAGTTGGGGGCGTTGCCCTCCACGCCATGGGGTGTGCTTCCGTGGGTCGGGTGGCTCCCGGTGTTCGCTACATGGCTGGGTGGCCTCCGACACGACAAAGCGAGCCATTTTCAAAATCAGGGGCCGCCCTGCACCAGCATGGCCCCCAGGGCTGCGCCGTTCAGCGTCGGCGTTTCGACGACGAGAGTGAGGAGGAAGAAGAGGAGGAGGAGGAGGAGGTGAAGAAGGATGATGATGATGAAGAGGAGGAATAAACACATAATAATCGGACTACGAACATGCAAAAACAACATGATTAGCATCACAAGCAGCATGACAACTATTACGACAACTGCTTAATAGCACGTATTCATGATACTCGTAACACGAAGCACACCACACATAATGATATTGATGATTATTAGTAATACTCATATGGGAATACGACGGCGAGCTAGACTGGCCTTATTATTCTTACTATCATGCTTATTATTATTATTCTTAGTAGTAGTTGTAGTAGTAGTGTGATTTATACTACGAAACCGCGAATAATATCACTACTGCCTAGAAAGGGGAGGAGGAGGACACGGAGGAGGATGAGGAGGAGCACGAGGGCTCGACGCAACAAGCTCCCAGTCTTCATGTCTGGTCAACGGTAAAGAAGGGCGAGACGGGGCAGGAGGATGAGGGAGAGGAGGGGGAGGGGGCAGAGGAGGAGGGGGAGGGCGCACATGTTTTGGTGTTGGTGGGGGGGGGTGGGGGGGGCGTACCAGGCAGCAGGAGCAGGGGCGGGATAAGAGCGTGAGCGGGATCAGGATGGAGGGACGAGAGCAGGACGCAGGACAATGGAGGGGGGCGGAGGAAAGCGAATAAAGGCACATCGTGAATGGAGGACATCAGGAGCAGGGGATGAGGAGGGTGAGGAGGAGAGGAGGAGGAGGAGGAGGAGGAGGAGGAGGGAGGAGGAGGAGGGGGAGGGAGGAGGGAGGAGGGATGAGGAGGAGGAGGAGGAGGGAGGAGGGAGGAGCGAGGAGCGAGGAGGGTGGAGGGAGGAGGGATGAGGGAGGAGGGAGGAGGGAGGAGGGAGGAGGAGGATGATGATGATGATGATGAGGAGGAGGAGGTGAAGAAAAAGGAGGATGAGGAGGATGAGGAATAATAACATAATCATCGGAATGCGATCATTAACGAACACCAGCAGTAAGATTACAAACATCATGACTGATATACGACAACGGTTACCCAGTACGTTTTCATAATACTCGTAACACGAAGCGCACCACACATACTCATACGAATGTGTCGTAGTAGTACTACGAATGGGGATACTATGGCGAATCATACTAATAGTCGTAGTCGTAGTAGTCGTAGTAGTAGTAGTAGTAGTAGTAGTAGTAGTAGTAGTAGTAGTAGTAGTAGTAGTAGTAGTATTAGTCGTAGTAGTAGTCGTCGTCGTAGTAGTAGTAGTTGTAGTAGTAGTAACAGTAGTAGTAGTAGTAGTAGTAGTAGTAGTAGCAGTAGTAGGAGTATTCGTATTATTTTTATTGTTATTATTATTAGTCGTAGTAGTAGTAGTAGTAGTAGTAATAGTAGTAGTAGTAGTAGTAGTAGTAGTAGTAGTAGTAGTAGTAGTAGTATTATAGTAGAAGTAGTAGTAGTAGTAGTAGTAGTAGTCGTAGTCGTAGTAGTAGTAGTAGTAGTAGTAGTAGTCGTCGTCGTCGTCGTCGTAGTAGTAGTAGTAGTAGTAGTAGTAGTAGTAGTAGTAGTCGTGATGAATACCACGGAACCGCGAAACATAATATTCATAACAAGAAAGGGGAGGAGGAGGAGGAACAGGAGGAGGATGAGGAGGAGCACGAGGGCTCGACGCAACAAGCTCCAGTCTTTATGTCTGGTCAACGGTCAAGAAGGGAGAGTAGAGGCAGGAGGATGAGGAAGAGGAGGGGAGGGGGCAGAGGAGGAGGGGGAGTGCGCACATGTTTTGGTGTTGGTGGGGGGTGGGTGGGGTGGGGCAGTACCAAGCAGCAGGAGCAGGGGCGGGATAATGAGCAGGAGCGGGATCAGGATGGAGAGGACGAGGAGCAGGAGCAGGACAATTGGAGGGGGCGGAGGAAAGCGAATAAAGGCACATCGTGCGAGGACATCAGGAGCAGGAGGGTGAGGAGGGTGAGGAGGGGACAAAAAGAAAAAGGAGGGAGGAGGGAGGAGGGAGGAGTGAGGAGGGAGGAGGGAGGAGGAGGAGGCGAAGGAGGAGGAGGAGGAAGTAGGAGGGAGGAGGGCCCCCTGGGCGGTGGACGTGTGCGAAGATCTCAGCCTCGAGCAGGGGACGTGCAGGAGCACGGCCCGCCCGGCCCGCAGGCCTCGACCTGCTGCTGACCCACGGGCCTCCGCTGGGACGTCGCCGCAGCGCCGGCGGGCGGCGGCCGGCGGGGGAGGCTCAGGCGATCGCAAACATGGATCAAGGGGGAGTCACTGGAACACCTTTGATCAGCGAGCGAAGAACGGTATAACATAAACCTTTTCGCTGTCGGGCGCGCCTGTCCCTGGGCGGCTGGAGAGTTGATACCCCTACGGTGCCACCGTAAGGGTATAAACTTTCCAGCCGCCCTGGGACAGGCGCCCCCGACAGCGAAAAAGTGTATTTTATACCGTTCTTCGCCCGTTAATTTGAGAACGGCATCTGCAGATGCCACAGCGTGGCCAGCCAGCAGAGCATGTGCCGGCCACTCACGCACGTTCTCTCTCTCTTTTTTTTCCGGACGCAGTCAGGCCTAGAAGTGTTTCACATGCGGCCTCGGACACAGCCAGACAACATCACGAAAAAAAACACCATGCGGCCTCGGACCAGACAGCCAGTCATTTTGGATATTTACTTCTGCGCAGCATGAAACAAAAAGGGGGGCGTGGAGTAGCGACGGGTCCCGTTTCCATGGGACATCGCGGATTTCCGCCGCCGAGCGGGGCGGCACAAGCCGCGTTTTGGGGGGGGGGGGGGGCACCTCCCCCGATCCACGGAGTTGGCGACCGCGCGCCAGATCCAGGGATCGCCAATCCATGTTTGCGCGCCCCCGAGGAGGAGGAGGAGGAGGAGGAGGAGGAGGAGGAGGAGGAGGGATAGGAGAAGGAGGAGGGGGGGGGAGGAGGAGGGGGCGGAGGAAGAGAAGGGGGAGGAGGGGGCCGAAGCGTGGTGGGCCAGAACGGGCGTCGAGGGCTCTGCGGCTCGAACACCTAGTATTCGCCAGCCGGGACCCCGCATATGTATCACATTCTTCCGCTCAACATGTGAAAGCTGTGTGGTGCCATCTAAGGCGCCGATGTTGGTGACAACGACGACGACGATGCCAGTGTGACGGTGATGAAGGTGATTGACTGATGATGGCGGCACTGGTGGCCACTGGCGATGACGATCGTGGCGGTGCTGCGATGGCGCGGATGAGGCTGGCGGTCAGGAACTGCGCGCGCGCAGACATTTCACAATTCCGAGTGTCTCATTTGTTTGCAAAGAGTTTTGGATTTTGCCAGTCTTGGGAAACAAAGCAGGAGGAGGAGGAGGAGGAGGAGGAGGAGGAGGAGGAGGGGGAGGGGGAGGAGGAGGATTAGGAGAGGAGGAGGAGGAGGAGGAGGAGGAGGAGGAGGAGGAGGAGGACGAGGGGGATGAGCAGGAGGAGGAGGAGGAGGAGGAGGAGGAGTCCCTCGGAGGAGGAGGAGGAGGGGGAGGAAGAGAAGATGGAGGAGGAGGAGGGGTTTGAATGAATGTTAACACGCGCGCGCTGCGGCGCGCGCATGTGGCCCGCAGTGTGCAATGTAGTACGGACTCGTGCACGGGGCGCATGCCAGAACAGCGCAGGTGCACGGCGTGGCGGCACGAGGATGCGGGTCGGGAGGGTATCGCGAACCTCGAGAGTGCTTTTCCCCCGGAGGTTCCACCAGATGCGCGCGGGCAGAGCATCTGCAAGGTTCTTGATGAAGTGCCAATTGGCCTTTGCGGCTTTTATGTTGAACCTCTTGCATAACTCATGTGTGGGCCCAGAAGGGCCGTCACTTCTGTCCGGCCTCAGGAGAGCGCTTTCCTGACTAGGCGGGCAAAACCCCATCCAGTCCCCTGACGGGCACAAGACCAGGGTCCCCAGGGTGTGTAGACATTTCAAGGTGGTCCCGGGGACCTTCCAGCCACGGAGGCTCCAAGACGGCCCAAGACCGGTCCAGGATGTCCAAGACGGTTTGAAGACTGCCCAAGAGGCCCCGTAGTGCGCCCCGAGAGTGCTCCAAGAGGACTCCCAAGAGAGCCTCAAGACAGACAAACATCGTCCACACACGATGTGTGCGTTCCACTGCATACAGTCGGGGCGCTGAAGAAGGAACCCTTTTCGTTGGGGAGGGGCTCCGTGTTCCTTAATTGTTTCGCAGCTTGCCTTGGATTTTCCTTAGGTTTTCGATACAAAATCGAAGTTCAACTTATGGAAAATAGGTGCCTCGTTCCTTATGTAGGGTTCCTTAGGTCAACGCCTCGACTGTATTCGCTTCCGATAGGCTTCTGAGGCTTCAAGGCGGCTCCAAGATGACCCAAGAGCGCCCATGGAGAGAGCCCCAGAGGAGCCCACGAGTGCCCAGCAATGGCCCCAGGACGGGCCCAAAAGGGCCACTATACTGCTCAGGAGGGAAAGAAACACACAGACACAATGAATCGTCGATTCCCTAGAAAATATGGGAAAATATGGGAAGTGGGGGGGAAGACGAAAACCCAGAAAATATTGGAAAATATGGGGACTATCCTGGGGCCCCTTCAACTGCTCCGTATCTTCCATACTGCGAAGTGGCAAACCAATGACACGTGAAGGGCAGCGCATGTTCGTCCAAGAGGCCCTGACAGGCCCCCAAGAGGCCCAATATGTCCCCAAGAGAGAGACCTCCAAGAGGACACATCAAGGACAGCGTCCTTGGCGCTTGCTGCAGCCCAAGCGCCCCCAAGAGGCCCCGAAGAGGTCCCCGAGAGGTCTGAGAGACCTCCGAGAGTGCTGCAATGGGTCCGAGGAGATCCCCAGGCGGTCTCACAGAGGCGCCCTCACGACGGGCCTCAGGAAGCCCCAAGAGGGTTCCAGAGTCTTCCATGTTGCACAGTAGATCAAGCAGATGACAGCCCGAGGACAACGTCCCTGGTGGTTAATTGGGCGCAAGAGGCCGCAATACGCCGCCAAGAAGCGCCCACGTGACCCCCAAGCGGCCCCCCATGGATCTCAAGGGGGCACCATGAGGCGTCCAGGCGGCCTCCCAGAGGCGCCCCGGCAGCCCCCAGAGGCCCCCTGCGGGGCTCCCAGGCCAGCTCGATAGACCAGCACGCCCGACCAGCAGGGCAAATCAGACCAGCACAACAGACCAGCACGGTAGACCAGCACGGCGCCATAAGCACGGCAGCACAAGAATGGGCGACCAGCACCGCAGACCAGCACGGCAGACCGGCGCTAGAGCAGCCAAGGAAGGAGGAGCACGACAGACAACCACGGCGGAGCTTAGCACGAGCAGACCAGCACGGCAGACCAGCGCGATCGATCAGCCAAGACAGAAGGTGCACGGCAGCCCAGCACGTCAGACCACCTAAGAACGATCGGGAGCCTGCTCTCTCGCGCTGGCCTCTCGTGTGGGCCGCTCGTGCTGGTCTCCCTTCGCTGTCGTTCTCCCCGTCTATCTCAGTCGCGCTACGTCTCGGCCTTGGGTCCCCTCCTTTTCGGAGATTACTTGCGCGGAGGAGGGGGGGAGTCTTGCGGCGCGGGGGTAGGGGGAGGGGCAACCCCCTCCTCACAGGGCGTGAAGTATTTTTGGAAGAGAGAGGGCAGACCTCGTTAGACCACCTGAGCCCAGAGGGCTGGTGGGATTCGTTGCCAGAGGTCCTCGTTAGCCCCTCGGGTGACCTGGGTGCTACGCCTGGGTCAGGCCTTCAGGCTGCTGTGGTGGCTTGTGATGTCGAGGAAGTTCCCCGTAGTCCCCTCCCGCTAGGGCCAGGGCAAGGACCAGGGTCTGAGCTCTGGGGGCCCGACTGCTTGTAGCCAGCAAGTGGAACCCCGACCATCGTTGCAAAATTCCAAGTGTCCGAGGTCTCGCTCTACTGTAGCCTGGTCACCGCTGCTCCACAGCGTCGCCTTCTCACGTCGTCCAAGAACTTTCTGCTCGATCTATCCTCGAAATCCGTCAACCGCCCCTCCTTCCTGTAGCCATCCAGGGGCCCCGTGCCAAAAACTTCCACGTCGCCATAGAGGGCGGCCTCGTCGAGGCGGGGCACAGCCAGGGACTCCTCTGGGACCCCACGTAGCCACAGGGCTGGGTCGCTGTCGTAGCCCGCTGGGGCCTGTTGGATCAGGAAGTCCCAATTATTGAGTCCAGGAAGCTCCGAGCTGCTCGCAGGGCAGCCCCAGGCGCGGTGCACGAGGCCCTCGGGCGCCGCCTCGCCGCCAGGGCACGTCTCGGGCAGGAGCTGCCCTGCTCGACGTCGCCCTGCTCTGCCCTCCGCTGGCCGCCGCGGGCCTCCGCCGCGAGGAGGCCCCGGGGGGCCGCCCGGCGCCGCTCCTCCTGGCGAGCCTCCGCGCTGCGCCGCGATGGCGCGGCACGGCGCCGGGCCCCGCCCGGGGAGGCCGGCGCCGTGCCCGCGGGCCGCCGCCTTCCTCCAGCACCTGGTGCTGCATGCGGGCAATACTCATGTCTATATCCACTGCAGGATGGAGTTTCGGGCTCCCTTCCCAAGAAAACCGAGGCGCACTGGATATGGAATAAATTTGGCCCCAGAGGCTCGACTTTTTATCCATATCCAGGGCGCCTCGGCCTTGTGGCGCCGCTTCCAAAAAAGTCCAAGAGGCACTGGATATGGACATGAATCTTGCCCGCACTGCAGATCCCGGCGGGCGGCGTGGAGCAGCCCTTCCGGGCGCCTCGCCCGACGCCTGCCGCACCAAGTCGGACTCGGGCTGAAGGGTCCTTTGCCAGGGAGGGCTCACACACATGTTTGCAGCAGCTCGTGCAATCGTTCGTGTGGGATGCGCACGCCGTGCAGCAGCAGCATTAGCACGCGGCTGCCACGCGCCGCCCGCCACAGGATGAAGTATTGCATTTTGATGTGTGACCTCATTACGAAACACCCCCTTCGGCTTTAACCAATCAAGCTCCACGCCGCTGGCGGTATTCCCTCCGCGAGCTTAGCCCGCATCGACCGCTCGCCCTGGCTCGGGACGACGGACTTGGGTACGGAAAGAATGGGCATAAAGACCGACAGCAGTTCCTGCTCTTTTTGAACAGGACTCGCCGTCGGTGTCGCCGCGGACTGCGTCCATTTGACACAGACAGCCGCCAGCCCAACAGCGGCCGCGGTTGGTTTTGGGACAACACTGGTCCTTGGGCATTGTACCCATTTGTTCCGTACCCACTTCGGGCGTCCAGACTGGCGTCGGCGGCGCGCCCGGGGGGAGAAAGTGAGAAGGAGCAGGCCGTCTCAGTATATAGAGATTTCTCGGAGGCCTCCCGAGCGTTCCGAGAAGGCTCGCGCCCCTTCTCTCGCTTCCCGCCCAGGCGCGCCGCCGATGGTGGCCTGGCCGCGCCGGGCCCGCCGTGCGACTGCAGCCTGCAACTTCCTGGCCCATGTCTCTAGGCCTCCTAGATGGGGTCGGAGTAGATGTGGTCGGAGGACCTAGTGTCCACGAGCGCGGCGACCACCGCGCTCGCGGGGGCTCTGCCTCAGCGCCGCCGCCCAGCAGCCAGCAGCGCTTGCCTGAAGGCCGCCCCGCATGCGCTGGATCCGTGCGTGGAGCGCTGGTGCCAGTTCCCACAGCGTGAGCCAGTCGGACGGGGCTGGGACGAGGATCAATCCGTTCCAGAGCTTTCCGGAACGCTCTCAGAGCGTGCCGCAACGCTCTGAGAAGGCCGTGGCGCCCGAGGCATCTTCCAGAGCGGCCAGATCTCAGCGATTCCCGATGGATTCTCACCCGACTTTGTCCTCGTCCTGGCTTCGTCTTGTAGGCGGAGTGCCACGCCTGTGCTTTCCTCCGATGCGACTTCACGCGGCAAGCACAGGTTGACGGATTTATTTTCCACCACCACAACCATAAGTTGGATGGGGGGAAGGAGGAGGACGAGGAGGAGGAGGAGGAGGAGGAGGAGGAGGAGAAGGACGAAGAGGAGGACGAAGAGGAGGACGAGGAGGAGGAGGAGGAGGAGGAGGAGGAGGACCCCCTCCCCCTCCAACTTATGGTGGTGGTGGTGGTGGTGGTGGTGGAAAACAAACCCATGACAGGTGGTGAGTCAGCGGCCTCCCACTTGTCCTCCAGCCGCAGCTCCCGCTTGCCGTCGAAGCTCCGCGACCCGTGACGGCGCCGGCCTTCAGTCGGGCCTGTCTCTCTGCAGGGGGGATGTTCAAAAGTAGTCAAAATATAGTCCAGGGGCGATTCTGGGAATATTTTGGAGTATTTTTTGAATATGTTTGACAATTGTGTCCATTTTTCGTCTAAAATCCGCCTGCAGGAGGAACGTTCAAAAGTAGTCAAACTATAGTCTGGGGGCGATTTTTGGGATTTTTGTTGGAGTAGTTGTTTTGCATATTCTTGACAAGTGTCAAGTTTTCATCAGAAATCCGCCTGCAGGAGGACACTCCCGAGCCAACGCCAGCCCTTGCAGGTGGCCGCCACACGCCGCCCAGAGGGGGCAGGCCCTCGCTGCCCCCAGGCCTCGGGCCTCCAGTGTGAGGGGCGCCCGCTTCCCCTCGGCGGCGGGCCGAGCTCCGCTCTCGGCTCCCGCGCGTGCGGGGCCGCCTGCGGGCAGACGCCGCCGGCTGCCGGGCGGCGACGCTATAAGGCAGAGCCCGCAGTCCCGTGAGCATGGGGCGAGCAGTTGGAGGTTGCATGCGGACGGTGGGCTGAAGTCTGGGCGCGGCCAGGGCACCATCGGCGGCGAGCCTCGGGGGGGGGAAGTGAGAAGGGGCGCGCCTTCTCGGAAGGCCTGGAAGTGTCCCGGCCTTCCGAGGAGCTGTCCGGGCCTTCCCGGAAGACACAGAGAGCTTCTCGGAAGGTCTGAGTGCTCCCGAGAAGCCCCGCCGCCCTCTGAGAAGGCTCTCTCCCGCTCCCCTCCCCCTCTCCGGGCGCGCCGCCGAACTTGGCCGAAGCACGGGCACCTCGGAGTCGCGCCCCACAGTTCTTGCAGCAGCGCTGGCGTCCCGCCTGCCGTACCGCAGCGTGCGCCGCGTTGTTTGATCTGCGCGGCCTCGAGCCGCCAGCCGGTGGGACTTGCTTTAAGTCGGGCCTGTCCCGGTACAGGAGGAGTACTCAAAAATAGTCCAGCAATAGTATGTGGACGAGTTTTTTTGAAACATATGTTTGATTAATCCCTCAATCAGAGCCTGCCTCTGTAGGGGTCCTAGCGGATTCATATGGTTAGTTTAGGTTTGCCGCCGATTTTCGCCGCACGCCCGGGTGCCCGGGTGCCCAGGTGCCCGGGTGCCCAGGTGCCCGGGTGCCCGGGTGCCCAGGCGTGCCCGGGCGTGCCCGGATGCCAGGTGCCCTTGTGCCCGGGTGCCCGGGCGTGCCTGCTGGTGCCTGGGGGTGCCCGCGGGTGCCCTATAGCCGTATAGCCCTACAACTCTATAGCCCCATAGCCTTATAGCCCTATAGCTCAATAGCCCTATAGCCCTATAGCCCTATAGCCCCCTAGCCCTATAGCCCTGCTTGGGTTTTTCTCCGGTATTGCGTTTTCTTCAGCGCTTTTTACGGGGTCGAGTGGGGCAGTGGTGGCACCGCGCGTGCTGGTTGAGCTCCAGATGTGTTTGTATGCGTTGTGCTGCTTCAGCTGCTTATCGTCTTCCTCTCCCCCTGTCTGCCCTGGCCCCCGCAGGTCTGTGCAGCGACAAAGTGGGCGACGAGCTCCTGAAAGCCCGGCTGGTGGCTGGGGCGCCTCAAGCGTGATTGGAATGTATAAGCCCAGATGTGGACGGGTGCGAAGGATAGCAAGCAGGAGTAGGGAAAGGAGGGGAAAGAAACCATGTAGAAGGAGGGACAGTACGATGTGAAGAAGGAGGGGTGGGTGGGATGGGGAGGAGGAAAGGGGGGGGAGGGGGGCGGAGCGGCAGGAGGAGGAGGAGGGGGAGGTTGAAGGGGAGAGTGGATAACAAGGAACTGGATCTTGATGGTTTCCTTTGGCGGCGAGCGGCGGGGGTACGTGAGAGGGAGGAGGCCCTCTCGGAAGGCGGCGGGACTTCTCAGAAGCCCTCGCGCCGTCTGGCAAGTGCTCTGTGTCTTCGGGGAAGGCTTAAGAGCAACTCCTCAGAAGGCTGGGGAACTACCAAGCCTTCTGAGGAGGGAGCCTCGAGACAGGGGTCAGTGCTAACGGGGGTCAGCCAGAGCGCCCCGACCTTGCAGGATCCTGCAGGGCCAGGGTCGCATTGACCCGGGTTTGCGTGCAGGATCCTGCAGGATCCTGCAGGATCCTTCGCATTGACCCGGGTTTGGGCGCAGGATTTTGCAGGATTTTGCAGGACTCTGCAAGGCCTGACTGACCCTGGTCTGGATTGACCCGGGTCAGCAGGTCCCCGACTGAGGAGGCCCGCCCCTTCTCGCTTCCCCCTGGCCGGGTAGTCGAAGGCCAGTTTGGCAGATTGGATTGGGCTCCTGGGGTCAATCTGGCCTGACCAGGTTGGGGGGTTTTGTTGTTGGCCAGGCTGGATTCACGTAGGCTCCCTTGCCAGATTGCCACCGTTTGCCAGATTGGGCCCGCCTGGTTGGCGCCAGATTGGCTTGATGCCGTTTCTTGATTGCTTGGGGCATGCCGGGCGTCATGGCCCCCGCTCCCCCCCCCCCCCCTATGACGTAACGCTCCCCCCCCCAGTGCGCTCCGGGCACTGCCGCCGTGCGCATTGGGATCCGCGTAGGTGTCCGCGTAGGAATCCGCATAGGTGTCTGGTCCGCAGGCGTCGTCGTCGTCGTCGTCGTCGTCGTCGTCGTCGTTCGTCGTCGTCGTCGTCGCTCGTGGTTCGTCGCTCGTCGCTCATCGTCGTCGTGCGCGCGGACGCGGCTGGAGCCTGTTTTTAAGTCCGGGCCGATGACGGCAATCATCTGGGGGGGAGGGGGTCGATGACGTCACGTTTCGCTCCGGCGGCGTTTGGGAATGGGTAGGAATGACGGAAGACGGGTCGCACGAACATGTAGGTGGCGATATGCACCACAACGCCTGTGTACATCACAGTGCCCGCGTGCACCACAGCGCCTGTGTACACCACACCGCCGACGTAGACCACAGCAGCCTCGTGCAACACAGCGTCAGTTTGTGCCACCGTGCCTGCGGGCACAGCAGCTCCTGTGTACACCACAGCGCCTCCGTACGCCACATCAGCCGTGCGCAACACAGCACCAGTGTACACCACAATGCTTGCGTGCATTGTAGTGCCTGTGTACGCCACGGCGCCTGTGTGCACCACATCAGCCGTGTGCAACACAGCACCATTTTTGTGTGTAGAATTTCAGAAGGAATCCTTGTGACAAAATGTAGCGCGTGTGGATTCCAGAGAAAACCATGGAAAACAAATCCTCATGGACAAAGGAGCACCGCTGGAATCTACGAGTCCCCCCGAGTCCGCCCGCATCACCCTAACTCCCATTTGCGTCCAGGAGGCTCCAGCTAAATTGGCCGCCCGAGAACAGAGTGGACCGATTCAATCGACCATTCTGCGGTGCACGCTGAGATGCGCACGTGCGTTGTAACGCCAAACCGCACGACACGGGGTAAGAAGGAGGTAAAGGAGGACGAGGAGGAGGAGGAGGAGGAGGAGGAGGAGTAGGAGGAGGAGGAGGAGGAGGGAGGAGGGAAAAACGTCGTATTCGATTATCAGAACTTTCCTGGCGTGGCGTTTAGTTGTCCGCATCAGATCCTGACGTACATGCTCCTTCTACCTGTCCTATGCACGCAGGCACTGTGGTGTACACCAGCGCTGCGTTGCACGCGGGTGCTGTGGTGTAGACAGGCGCTGTGGCGTGCACAGGCGCTGCGGTGCACTCAAGCACTGTGGAGTACACAGGCGTTGTGTTGCACACGGCTGCTGCTGTATATGTACACCGGCGCTGTAGTGCTCCCAAGTATTGTGGTACACGCGGGCGATGCGTTGCACACGGCTGTTGCGGTGTACGCAGGCGCTGTGGTGCACACGCGCGGTGTGGTGCACGCGAGCGTTGTGGTGTACACAGGCGCAATGGGCAGATCGCCACTTACATGCTGCTCGCGTCGTCGTCGTCGTCGCTCGTCCCTCGTAGCTCGTCGCGTCGTGCGCGCGGGCGCGGCTGTGGTGCCGGAGCCACACGGCGGGGGGGGGGCGTCACGTCATACCCCCCCCGCCCCCCCCCCCCTCCCCCATGACGCCCGTCATCGCCGAACATAAAGAAACGCCTTCCTTCGACTACCCAGCCTGGTTCGCCGCCGGTTCCTGGATTGGGTGAGCTGAAAGTCTCCAGCCAACTGGCATATCTCAGAGCAGGGCGTATTCCAATTGTCATGCTGATGTCGCCTAGAATCTGACTGGGAGTTGGGTCGATTCAGAGAGCTGCCACTATGCGCTTGCAGAAGGAGCGGCCGCTCTCAGCATTCACAGCGCACGCGCAGCATTCCTTCTTGTGCAGTTGTATGCGTACGTTTGCTGAATTTGTTGCCGAACCCCGAGAGCGTGGCAGCGGGGAATCAGCGTTTTTTTTCTGCGAGTTGCTCAAGCCCCCACGCCCCGCCTTGATGAGATGTAGCATGGCACCCCTGCTCTCAGCTCAAGATCCAATATTTACTTGGAGTTTCCGCCCGAGTTCGACATAACTGGGTCCCGAGGCCTGAACGCTGTTTCCAGATGCCAAACTCAGAGCAGCAATCTGCGATGAACATCTCCACGACGCCTGTTGAAGTAGCACCGAGTTGGAGCTAGGGGGACCTGGAATTCCGTGTCGCGCGGCTCACCTGGGCGCCTGAGAAATTCTTGCAGTATTGTCATCCTTGTTGCTGTCAACCCGCATAGTGAGGATGAGCAGCCTTCCCAAGGCTACCCTTGCATCCTGGCCCCTTCGGCCCATCCTTGGCGACTTTCGCTGGCCAACCTCGCTCGAACAACGTTAACATGGGCCTGCAAGGCCCCTGCATCCTTGCCGCGCACCCTTGTGATACGGGCCGACTGTATCGGACATTCAGGCATCGCGCACGCCCCTCCGCGCGCCGCTGGCACAAGCTGCGAGCGCACATGGGCTTGGGATCGTCGCGCACCTGGGCGCAAGGCCGCTCAACCTGGAATCGCCTGGAGGCCTTGGAGGCTCAGCCCCACCTTTTGACTGACACCAGCCGCCAGAGCGGGTTGGGTAGTGGGTCCGCTGCTTCGGGAGCATGTGGATTTCTTCGAAGAAGAAAATACACTCCCAAAGGATTTCTTGGATCCGCGCTGGTTCCCCCCTGGCGGCGCCTCCGGAGCCGCCCCCGGCGCGATCCGCGCGCCAGGGAAGGGGGCCCAGCGCAGATCCGAGACATCCGCGCGGAGCGCCAGCAGTTCACGTTTGTGGCGCTTGTTCTTCCTTTACCTCTGCTGCACTCTTCCCTCTCGTTCCTGGGCAGGGCCGTGCCAGGCGGAGATGGCGGCGCCGCCCCGGTTCCACGTCTTCGGTCCCGCCCCGCGCCCCGCGCCGCCAGGGACGCAGCAGGGGCTTGATCGGGGCTCCAGAGGCGGGGGTCAAAGGCAGACGGGGGTCGGGCAGAGCGCCGTTGCGTGCGGCAGGACCATGCAGGGCCAGGGTCGCACTGACCCGGGCTTGGGTGCAGCCTCCTGCAGCCGGATCCTGCAAGGCCCGACTCACCCGGGTCTGGATCTGGCCCGGGTCGGAGGGTCCCCGACTTGAGGGCGGGGCATTTGGAAGTTCTTGTCCGTGCGGCTGAACGTGGAGCGCAGCCCTGTCAGGTCAATCCACTCGAGAGATTCAGGCACCAGCCCTTGGGTGACTTCCGAGGGGAGGGAGGGCATCGAGTTTCTTGCTCCTTCGGCGGGTGCGATCAAGCGGGATTGTCCGCACTGGTATTCCGAGAGCCGCCGTGCCTGATTAGGGTGCTTGTTGGTTGGGCGAGACACCCGAGCAACCTGATGTCGCGCAGCCTGAACCGCAGGAGGGGAAACAACACACAGACGCACTGAAGAGTCGATCCCCAGGAAAATAGGGGAGAATATGGGAAGTGTGGGGACGACGAACACCCCGAAAATATGGAAAGCATGTGACATCCTGGGATTTTGTGTATTTCTGTGTGCGTCCCCGGGCCCCTTCAGAACCGCGGGCGTGCACGCCGGCGCTCTGGAGGGCGCCGCCTTCTGCCGCCGCCACCCGCGGCTCCCTGCGGCTCCGTGGGGCCCTCTGGGAGGCCCTTGCTTGGGGGGCGCCCGGGGGCGTCTGGGCGCCGCCCGTCGGCAGATCTGAGGCCACAGTTCTGCACGAACGAGATGGGCACCGAAAGAATGGGCACAATGCCCAACAGCAGCTCCTGCTCATTTTGAACGGGACTCGCTGTCCGCGCCGCCGCGGCCTGTTTCCATTTGAGACAAAAGGCCGCCTGCCCAACAGCGGCCGTTGTTGGTTTGGGACAACAGTTGTTGTTGGGCATTGTACACCTTAGGCGATGCTTAAGAAAACTTTTTTTTTCGGTCAGAGTCTCGATTATTCTTAATGTTTCAATATAAATCCTAATTTTTTAATAGAAATGTTGGGTTCTCATTCAAATTCTGAGACTATGGATTTCTTAACCCATGATTTCTTAAGCATTTCGCAGGGTGTACCCATTCTTTCGGTACCCTTTTCGGGTGTCCAAAACAGTTGGTCAGAGCAGGGGCCTCTCGGGGACCAGCTCTTCGGGACTCCTGGTGGCATCCTGGGGCAGACCTTGGGGGGCAGTCTTCGCCCCTGTGTGCGGCTCCGGCGGCTCCTCGGTGCCTCTGGAGGCCATGCTGGACGGTCTTGGGGCTATCTCGGGCTGCTGGAGAGCCAAACAAGCGATTTCGCAAGCACAACTCGGAGGTCCGCGCGGAGTTCTGTGAACGGGACGGGGGGGGGGTGAGCGGCGGGGCGATCGGGGCGGAGGGAGCGGGCAGGGGAAGGGTCGGGGTCGGACGGGGTGGGTGGTCAACGAGGGAAGGGACGGTGTGGGGGGAGCGGGAGCGGGGGGACGGGGGCAGGCCGACCGCCTCCGTGGCATCGGCAGGCTCGCGCGGGGCCTGGCGCGCTGGCGAGGGCCACCTGTGGGCAGGACCGCTGCCCCCATCCACGGCGTCTTGGGCTGGCGGGGACGGGGGCGGCGACACGCCGAGGCGCGGAGGGCCTCGAGGCCGAGGGGCGCCGAGGGCGGCCGAGGAAGAGAGATCCGGCCTCGAGGGCCGGAGTCGCATGCGTAGAGGGGGGGGGCGCGCATCAAGAAGCCACATGCGTCGGGGGTGGACAGAACCCCCAACAGTGACACGTCGATGAGTGAATTGTCCGTTTTCGGTTCTCGAGAGGGCGCCGTGGCCGTTATCTTCCAGGTTTGCGCCTGCCAGGTTTGGGCCTCAGGTCGTTTGCACTAAACCACGTTTTACTAAAGGGGGGTCTGTCCATCCCCGAATGCGTTTCGTCAGGGTATCCTGGGTTTCTGCTTCGCTCCGCGCGCTTGCGCGTCGACTTCCCGCAGCCGCTGAAGAAGCTGCTGCTTCCATTGTCTTCCGGGTTTCCCCTCGGGCGCACCTCGCGCGCGGGTTTCCAGGGTTGGGTGTCTTGCGAGGGTTCCTTGCGGCCGCGCCCGCACTGTATCCACTGCGTCTCGGGCTCGTGGGGACGGGAGCTCGAAACTCCAGGACGCAGCGGGTATGGCTACAGCTCCCGCCCGCGGACGAGCGCAGTGCAGGCCAGCGCCTGGCGTGTCCGGTGCCCCCGGCCCCCCTGCCACCCGGCGCGAGCCCCCGAGGCCACGACCACCGCTTCCTCGGCATCGACAGCACCCCCCGGACGATCTTCCTGAACGTCGCGCAGGAGCGCCGCCCCGCCGCGGCCCCCAGAGGCGCGGGCCGACGCACGCGCGCGCGCGCACGCGCACGCGCACGCGCACGCGCACGCGCACACGCACACGCACACGCACGCGCACACGCACACGCACGCGCACACGCACACCCACACATACACGCGCGAACGCGCGCACGCGCGCACGCGCGCTTTCGCGCACGCCAAACGCACACACGCACACACGCACACACGCACACACGCACACTCGCGCACACACGCACATGCACGCGCATGCACGCAAGCACGCACGCACGCGCACACGCACGCACGCACGCACGCACGCGCTCACGCACACACACACACGCACGCACGCACGCACGCACGCACACCGCGCACGCACGCACGCACACACCACGCACGGGCAACGCACACACGCACACACACGCACACGCGCACGCGCACGCGCACGCGCACGCACGCACGCACACACACACACACACACACACACACACGCACGCACGCACACACGCACACACGCACGCGTTCATGCACACGCACACGCGCACGCACACGCACACGCGCACGCACACGCACGCGCACACGCACGCGCACACCCACACGCACACGCTGACGCACACGCACACCCACACGCACACGCACACGCACACCCATACCCACACCCGCACCCACCCACACACACACACACACGCACACACACATCCACTCACACCCACGCACACCCACGCACACACACACACACGCACACCATACACACCGTACACACGCGCACACGCACACGCACACGCACGCACGCACGCACGCACGCACGCACGCACACACGCACGTACGCACGCACGCACGCACGCGCACACGCACGCACGCACGCGCACACGCGCACACGCACGCGCACGCGCACGTGCACGCGCACGCGCACGCGTACACGCACGCGCGCGCGCACGCGCACGCGCACACGCACGCGCTCGCACGCGCACGCACATGCGCATGCGCAAGCGCACTTGCACACGCACGCGCACTCACATGTACATGCTCATGCGCACGCACCTGCACACGCACATGCACACGCACATGCACACGCACATGCACACGCACATGCACAAGTACACACACACACGCACACACGCACACACACACACGCAATCACAAAACACCACACACACACCAGGCACGCCACACGCACACGCGCACACACGCACACACCACACACACACCCACGCACACACACGCACACACGCACACGCACACACACGCGCACCGCACACATACACACACGCACACGCACACACACACACGCACACGCACACGCACACGCACACGCACACGCACACGCACACGCACACGCACACGCACACGCACACGCACACGCACACGCACACGCACACGCACACGCACACGCACACGCACACGCACACGCACTCGCACACGCACACGCACACGCACACGCACACGCACACGCACACGCACACGCACACGCACACGCATCACGCATCACGCATCACGCAACACGCAACACGCAACACGCAACACGCACCACGCAACACGCAACACGCAACACGCAACACGCAACACGCAACACGCAACACGCAACACGCAACACGCAATACACAACACACACCACACAACACACAACACACAACACACAACACACAACACACAACACACAACACACAACACACACACACACCACACAACACACAGCACACAACACACAACACACAACACACAACACACAACATTAGCTATCGTGAGATCGCGGCCGTTTGGAGGTCAAACCGGCACGGCAGACCCATGTCTTGAAGACGCTCTTATGCAAGATCCGAACTCCGCCTTGTTCACCGATTCTGTGCGCGACGACTTCCGTCGCCTCGCCATGCTGGGTACTCCGCGTGCCGCGTCCCGCGGGGAGGTTCCGAGGCTGAGCCAGCCCGCGCCGCGGTCCACTCGCTCGCCGCTCCGCTCGTCGCCCTCCCCTGGTCGCCGACCCGCCGGAAGCCGTCCGAAGATCCCCTCCCCCCCCTTCCTCCCCCAGCTATCCCTGGCCCATGCCTCGTCCAAGCCCCGTCCCCTCTGCGCCGCCCCCGCCCGGGTCGCCCGCGCCCGGTTTCTGCTCTCCGCCCCCCCTTTACAACGCCGTGGTTTGACCTGAACGCTGTTTTGCTGGACTTCGGCCGTGTTTGTGTTTTCCGTTTTGGCAGGGAGGCGCAGGAAAAAGCAGGTAGAGCAAAACGAAAAACAAAATGAAATCCAAAACAAAAAGCAACGGTTACTTGCCAGGTGCTAAAGTTTCAGACCAACGCTGCCCCATATTGCGCCGTTCGGGAGGCGATCAAAACGGCGATGCCATGGCGCGCCCATGCGGCGGTAGCCGAATCTGTCGCCGCGCCAGGGCGAACGCGCAGCCCGCGCCCCCCCCCTATCTCCCCCCAGCGAGGCAAAGCCGAGCAGCGAAGCGACACGACGACGTCAACGGTGAGGTCCGTTGCCGTCGCCTCTCGTCGGCCCCCTCAGCTTCGCATCGGGTGGGGGTTGGGGGGGGCCCGACGCGGCGTTTGTCTTTGCGACTCCCACGATTCTGTCAAAGCTATGGTACCGCCCGTGTAGGTCCAGCCCTGGCTCCCCCGCTGCCTCGCCCACCTCAGGGCCCCCGCGCCCGCCCCCGGGCCTTGAGCAGGACGAAGCCCTGCGATCCGACCCCAGGGCCGGGGGCTGCGCGCTGGTGTTCGACGTGGAGGCCAAGGAAGGGACGGGGGGGGGGAGGGAAGGGGCATCCGATCCGACGAAGGCTTCCACACACCACCGCGGTGCCAGTGCCCGGGCTGTCCTGGGCCCCAGGATGGTGCATAGGCCCTCCTGGCTTCGGCCAGGAGGGCGTCTGCGCCATGCCAGGGCCAGGATGGCCCTTGCCTGGCACGGTAGTGGTGGTGTATGGATGCGTGCTGCGTGGCCGAGGGGGGAAGCGCTCGTCTCTACAGCCGCATTCGCTCGAGATCTCGGTCGTAGACCGCCCCGGGAGGGAGAGGTCCAGGGAGCACCAGCGTCGATTTTCTTTTCTGCTATCCAAGGGGAGGCCTGATCCGTCGTATCCAGCAAATGCGTCTTCGGAGGCCACGCTCCGAATGCGCAAAACCTGCGGCAGTCAGGCG